ACTTGTTGCTGCGCCTCCACCACTTCTGTAAAGGTCAACTTCTCTCTCTCGTTATCGCTGTCGTTCACCGACGACAGCTTCAAACCGTGGTTGTACTCCTCCACCGAGAACCTCCCGAGCTCTTGCACTTCCCTGTTTGTCCTCACGTCAGGGATCTCCGTCTTCCCCCCAACCAATCGAGCACACGATGCAGAAGAAAGAACCGAGAGCAAGGTGACCAGGATCGTGAGAGTCACAGCCATCATCGAAGTAATTAACCTTAATAGTTTTTCTCTAACGTTTGTTCAACTTGGTCGTAGAATAGTAAGCACGAGTGGGATGAAAGCGTGTAGAATATGAGAGATGTATATATAGTGAGGTTTTGCATGTGTTTGGTTTGGACACGTAAGAGGAAAAGGATGTGCTGCCGCGTATTTTATGCAGGATGAGGTTTTATGGAGTTGTTGATTGTGAGAGAATAATTGAGTTATCTATATCCCATTGGGTTCTGGTGCAAGGCATGGGACATGACAGACAAAATATACATGGTGGTGGTGCATGGCGTGGTCCTGCTCCATGCATCAGCGTAACATTGTGAATTTGGTGGTTTTGTGAGAGACTGACAGATAAGCCACCATGTTCTTGAGAGACTGCCACGTTTGGAGGATGCATGCAACCACTGCTATCTAGCTATGGTGTCATACGTGACTCTGATGATGCCTTTAAAGACTTAAATTCAACTAAAAACAAATAATACGAAAAAATGAATCAGAAGCCTATAAAGACTAATTAAACCTTACTAAACATCCATAGAGTTTACTTCTTGCACCTTTATAATTTATTGGCGTATCCGCTTGAATTTTTAAAATGATTATTTTATCTTTTATAAAACTAACTTTCGAATTATCTCTGTTGTAGGAAATTTTCAGAATAAGTTTTTAAATTTCAGAGTAAGATTTTTTAATCATGAGATTTTTAAATCAAAATTTCTGAAATGTATAAAACACATTCGGAAATAAGTTTTTGGAACACATTATGTCTTTTAAAATAAGTTTTCTAAATTATCTTTATATGAAATGTATTTCGGAAAGGGTTTTCTGAATCAAATGAAATACATTTTAAAAAAAGCTTTCCAACATATATGAAATATTTTACGGAAAGAACATCTCCAATTGAGTTTTTTTTTTTCACATTTTCTGTTTTCTTTTTCTATAACAGTCTTCCTTTCTTGTTATTATGGGTTCAGTTAATAATATTGGAGGTACAAAAAGTAACAATAAACATCCATTTAGGAAGAAATCGATAAACCCATTCAATAGAAAAAAAATGAGCCTATGTAACTTGGGCCTAAATTATGATAGAACAGTTGGGCCGCTCTAATAAGTGTGTACAAACTGAAGCCCAACCATGCACTTCCTCACTGCACCGTTACCTTCGCTGCTCGCTCCCCTTTTGACCTCTTCCTTCCCCACCCTCATTCTACTTCTCCTGCTGGACCGGTTGGGTGCTCCGATTCGCGTTTCATCGTTTAGAGAACAAGGGTGACATCAAGTCAAATGAACCTTATCGTTGTCGGGTTTGTGGGAGAAAGTTTTATACTGATGACAAGCATGTCAACCATTTCAAGCAACTGCATGGGAACAGGAAGTATAAGAAGGTGAAGTTGGTGGCTAAGTATTGTATGAAAATGGAAAAGTATAAGAAGGCTGCAAGCTGCAGATCGAACATTGCAAAGCCACATTGTGGATGTCATGGATTCTTGTGTCTGATGATTCTGATTTTGTTGATGTGATAAAGGAGGCAAGGCTGCGATGTCTGAAGACGATTGTCGTTGGGGATATTGATGATGGTGTCTTGAAGAGGACTGTGAAACAATTGAAGGATTACATGAGAATGAGAGAAATTAAGGTAAAAAACTATGAAAAGAAAAGAAGAACAAATTGATCATGGTTAGAGGAGGAATCACAGAGAGGAGGAAAATCCATTTCCAAACAGGACAAAGTCTATGAAAGTGGAAGTTTGGAGTTTGAGATGGGAAAGACGGAGAGGGAAGTATGCTTATATGATATGTATGTAAAGGAAGCATGCTATTGCCACCAATGTGCCTTGATTAATGTGACCTTTTGTCTATGAGAAGTTTCTCCTGCACCATCAAAAGTCCATCTTCCACCTCCATAATACCAAAAGTTCCGCTTAAAATATTTACTTAACTAGCGTCCGAATTACGGTTAAAAAATTAATAAAACTGGCGTTCGAATTACGATTAAGAACGAGAAATTTACTTAATCGATTTTCGAACCACGATGAAGATTATTTTTTACTTTTGTTTAATAATACAGAAATTACTAAAAATATTAAAAGTTAAATATTTTAAATTAAAAAACTAAATTTAAAAATTATTTATTTGAATTCCAAAATTAAATTTTTTTTTTTTAATATAATAAATATTTTAAAACTTAAAAAGAAATGTTGACATTTTTTTTATTAAAATGTTATTCAGTTATAAAAATTATAAAAAGATATTACAAAATTAAAAAAAAAAAGACCGTAAATCGAAATACGGTTAAACATTTAATTTGAAATTGAACATGTTAACCGTAATTCCGGTTAACATATTTCTTTTTTAAGTTTTTCTTTTAAATTAATTAAATATTTATTATATTAATAGAATAAAATTCAAATAAATAATTTTTAAATTTACCTTTTTAATTTAAAATATTAAACTTTTAATATTTTTAATATGTTTTTTATTTTTATTATTAATAACAAATAAAATCAAACGTTAAAAAGAAAAAAACTTAAACTGGGCGTTCAAAACCAGTTAAGTAAATTTTTTAACCGGTTTTTGAATGCCGACAAGGATATATTTTTAAAATTATGAAAATACAAGATGAAATTTTGGAGGTACAGGAGAACTTCTTTTTGTCCATTTGATGAAAAATACTTTATTGATTGATTGTTTTTAAAAATAGATCAAATTGAAAACGTTTGGAATAATGAAAGTAAGTTAAAAAAATTGGAACTAAAATTTTAAATCTATTTTCTATTATTAAGTAAAAAAAACAACATACAAATTATTGTTTTGGTCTTTGTTTTAGATCTTCAAAAAAGACTTCAAAAATATTTGTTAGTATTAATTGTTTTAGATTTTTAAGAAAAAAAAGTCTAAGTCCTTGTTCAGGGATTTTACTGTTTACTCAGTTTTGCGGGCGAGGAATTAAGTTGTCTTTAGTGTTCGCTTGAGAAGAAAAGCAACGATTGACAATGAGGGATTTGCGGGATGGATGGGTTTTGTGTCACCCGCGATGAAGAAGAGATTAGCAGATATTTATGTTAAAAAGTCATGTACCCTCATCGTTTTATTAAATTTCATCACTGTATGAGTTTAATATATATAATCGGGTTCCACCACACACTTTTTCACATAATCGATTCCAAATAAAAGTTGTTGGCTCTTTTGCATTGAGGACGAAGAGAAGCTCGTGAGGTTAATAAGATAATGTCTTGTTTGTAGAATTTTATTGTTGTTTTTGAG